ATTGCAAAGAATTAAATTTACTCACAGATATTCTGACTTTCTGGTTTATCTTTATCAAGTTATAGATTAAAGTTGTAAAACGTCACATTTACAAGTTACAAATCTTCCGATACAAAGTTGTAATACACGCAATAATGAATTCGCTTTATCTTAACCGTGATACACAATTCCATTTCTGAGTAGAACCTTGTAACGAAAACTGAATCTATTTTTTATCAACCACATTTCACTTTCACTTCCATGCTGCTCGAGTACATTGTAACACTATATTTATTTTAATGATTCACATATTCACAATATATATATATATATATATATATATTTATATATATATATTTATATACACACACGTACACAGCATCCTTTTTCTTACTTTATCACGTTCATATATCTGCGATTGTTTTCAGCTTGCGATTGTTCTTATTAATGCACAATCTATATTTTCTAGAGTTAGTTGAATATCTTCTGTCAAAATTTAATTTACTGAAGTAATATTTTCCTCTGATTATTCTTCTTATATTAATTACCAACGAGTTATAATCTTAGCTGAGCAGAGTTTAGATGTAACACAAGGTAAAATTACTTACACACTTTCACTACACGAAATATCCCTGATACTGTCGGATAACAAATACTTCGAGTACAAAGGGTTAATATTCTTTAAATAGAGACTCCATCATATACAATACATGTATATGTAATATACAATTCTAACTTTTTTGCACAGTTTGCCGTATTAATATTTCTAGATTTAAATCATTATCGAAATATTCATAAATTCTTACACAATATTTTTTTAATACTTTACTAATCATTCCTGATTGGTCACTTCATTTAAAATTAATAGTTGAAACTCGTTTTAACAGACAATTTGATTTGCACAAAAATCAATCATACAATTGATAATTATAGCTAACGCATTTCAATTAGTTTTATCCTTTTCAATATTGCTCCCTTAGATCAAAATAACAAACAGCCATCCAATTTTAAATGTGTTTTTCCATCTTTTTACAAGTATATGTACTTACATAACTTGACATTGCCGTATATCTACATTATAATCACTGGTCAAATTTTACAAGTGACATGTGGTTTGGCATATGTGGTGTGCATTTAGAAAGTAGAATGAATATCAGAAGAGAGTAAATCCAAAATAATCGATTTTAACATTTTTATGTCGTCGCGCGTAACTAATAAAGTAAATTTTCTAAAACTGATATATTTCAAAAATAATAACAACATAAAGTTTTATATACGTTGCAAAAAATATATAATTTTAAAATTAATTACTTTCTTATTTAAAAATGTATAATGTTTAAACTTGTGCATTTTTAAATAAAAAAAGTATTTAACAAAAATTTACTGTTTTATATACAATAAGATTTCTTATATTTAAATAACAAAATTAATTACATATAATTTGATTCCATATGAAAATATGTATATACTTTTTCATTAATTTTGAAAGTACAAATCTATCTTTTGGACTTACATACTTCCGTTTTTATAACTAATATTATTGCGAATTATTCGTCGCAATGAATGACTGGCATTAAACTAAAATGGAGGAACATGACTATTTTGATTCGTATTAGAGAGCAATACAAAGAACCAACACCGATCAGTCTTGAAATTATAGTAACCAATAAGATACCGGTCTTATACACATTGCAAAATATATAAATATAGAAGAATAACAACTAAGATTTTCGTAACTATTATGTGGTAGTTAATAATATTATAATATTAATTTATAGGCCCTTGCATAAAAAATTGATCGCAATTCAATACGAGTCGACTTATGCTTATATTGGGCTCATATTGGGCAAACAATGCACAGAAATCTGTAATATGCATGCTTCTCGTGTAAAATAGATAATGTAAAAAAAAATTCTTTACAATCATTGACACGTAAAAGTGCTGGTGTATCTTTGTAAATATTAATTAGATTAATTATCTGTATATAATAATTAATTACTATTAGTTGGCAAATTGTGTTCTTTAATTGCATAAAGTAAATTTTCCTCCGCAAGAACTATTCGAGAATCTTTGTGACATATATTATGACAGTTAATCTTTATTAAAAATTTTTATAGGTAATTGTAGTCTGAAGTCACTGGACCTACCTAATACGCAAATATTTAAAACATAGCACATAACATAATAAAAATCCCAACCCGGTATAATCAAATTACTTGACAATACGAATATATCATATAACAACTTCGATCCTTAGATATCTTTGCGAAGCTATTTTGCAAAAAAAAAAGAAAAAAAGAGAACAAAACGAAAACAAATACATAATACTCGATTTAGAATAAAATTAAAAAATTTTTAATAAATTGTATATGAAATTTTTGTTCATTTTTCGTTTCATTTCAATGTAATAAATAAGTATAAATAATTACAATATATTGGAATACATATTGTCGTGATAATAGAATTGATATATATATATACACAACATCATACGGATGCTTTTTGAGAAATTTCGAAATTGTTATAAAACAAAGTTCTTAGAATGCTTGCATGTATTTATAAGTTTTAAACGCTTGGATATCTATGGATTCCTCTTCTTTTCTTCCTTTCTAAGTGCTTCACGTTAAATTAAACTAAATCACATTTTAACATAGTTTAAACATCATATGCATACAAAAGGCGGTATGTTAATGAATTTCTTAGAAATAAAAAAATACTTTATATTCATTAACAAAAAAATTAATGATGTAACAATTACTTGATAGTAATTTGATTAAAAAAAGGAAAAATGAAGACTTTAGATAAGATTTACTTGTATAGAATTAAACGACACGGACGACAAAGATAATGTCTCCGAATTATTCTATGTATGGCAATGCTAAAGTGTTACCAAAGGACACTTTCGGATATATAAAAAATTCATGTACTTTTATAGTATAATATTAAAAATGTACGGCGCGTATATAACATAGTATATGTATATACGAAATCGAATAAAAACTTTTAACAGTAGACCCAGTGCTTTAGACTCAGCACTCGAATACCGTTACGGTATAATTGTCTGACGGTTTAATTGTCTTCATTGTCAACTGCGCGTATACGCGTACAGCCGTACATATTCGTTAAATATTTTCTTCTGTGAATACGCGTACGCGTTCTTTTTCGATCGAATACAATGGAAACGTCGATTGCCGTTATCTATATGTACGTCGATTGGCGCTAAATAATCTTAACTAAATTTCGTAGTACCGACGGTAATCGTAGCTATACAATTTAGAAGAGGACAGTGAATTGCTAACCAGTTAGCATAACTGTTCCACGTAGAATTCAAGTTGAACCAAGCCAGTTAGAAAACCGGTTCAAAACTAGAATTAACACCGTTGTTACAACTTTGACGATTTCAGCTTCTAACATGCCACAAGCATGTGGAAAAGCGTCCACAAAGCGTGAAGTACGGATATACAAAAGCAGGTATTTTTACTCACGTAAAAAAAAAATAAAAATAAAATTGTGATTTTTCTGAGGATGTTTTGCATTTAAACATAAGGTAGCATATGGTACCTTCAAACTACTATAACAGTAAATAGTAGATTAGTAAATTGCCTCACACAGAAAGCCTTGTTTCGTAAGTGAGGTGCTAAGATCAATATGCCATTTTATGTGTCTTAACTTCCCCAGTTTAATCACAACTTTCTAGTAGAAATGTGAGTAAAAGCACCTTATACTCTTACATCGTGGTTCTGGGAAAACTTGTCAAGCTATTCCAATACCCGATCAAAGTGTAAAAGTATGGTTCCAGTTTTCTGAAACTGTACACTGTAATCTCGCTATAAATACAGCGCGAGCGATTGCGCTGCGAGTCGTTCAACTCGTCCCGACTGCAATAATAAGAGAGCCAAATGAACGTGACAGAACGTGATAGATGATTTGGCGATCCTTATTCAATTCTCGGTATTTACAGGTTCGCGCGCGTGATGAATTCGCACATGCTTGTTGTGGTTGGATTTGGTGCCACTGGACTTGCCGCAAATGTGACACGTGTACGGCCGCGCGCCCGAGTGCACCCGCAAATGCTCTTTAAGATAGTACGAACGGTGGAAGGTCTTGTTGCACACGTCGCACGTGTATGCTTTGTTTTCTTCGTGCTCCTTCACGTGTCGTAGACAGTTGTACTTGCGGATGAACTGCGCGCCGCAATAGTTGCACGTGTATGGGCGCACATTTCGATGGGAATTCATGTGCGCTGTGTAATCGCTATGACGATAGAACGCCGCGCTGCATTGATTACATTTGAACGGCTTGGTACTGCGTGCCGCGTGCGTCCACTTGTGTAATTGCAGATTCCACTTGGTGCTGAACGCCTTGGAGCAGACCTGACACTCGTACGGCCGCTCGCCGTTGTGCACACGCATATGTACCGCCAGCGACGATCGCAGGTAGATACACTTGCAAATCGGGCACTCGACGTTCTCGCTTTCGCGCTGAGCGTCGGGAACGAATCGGCGATTGTGGGCGCGACGCATATGACGCGTCAGACTGGCCATGTGGATAAATCGTTCATTGCAGTACGTACACGCCTTGGGCTTCTCATCATGCGTCTCCTTATGCCAGGCGAGCTTCTTCTTCGTGTGGAACACTTCGCCGCAGTGGCATATATAATCTTTGAGCTTCTTCTTGATGTTGAGGTGATGCCTGTTTTTGTGCTGAGTCAAATTTGAGTATCTGCGGAAAGTTTCATTGCACAAACTACACCTGACGGGTGCATTGCCGGTGTGACCATTGGTGTGCTCCTCCAGCTTTTGCTTGGTGAGGAACGCTTTATCGCATACGGTACACGGGAACGGTTTGATGCCCATATGACGTTTCATGTGAAGCTTAAAGTTCTGCTTGCGATAAAAATACTTGCCGCACTGTCCACACTCTAATGGATGTATCTTCAAGTGAGCGTTAAACAGGAACACTGATGGAAATTCTTCATTACATATCTGGCACTTGGAGGTCTCGCGTATGCGTTTGTTCACGTCAGTGATGTGCATGCGTCGGTGATGCGTCTGCAGAGACTTCTCACTATTGAATCGCTGATTGCATATCGTGCAAATCACCTCAATGTTTGACGGTATCACCAGATTCTCACCGATTTTCTGGTCGGTCTCGGCCTTCGTCAGGCCGTCTGATCCAGGTTGTGACGGTGGCTGCAGCTGATGCAACAACGGCTGCTGATGATGGTACATGTGCTGTTGCATATGTATACTCGGCATGAATATATCGTCGAACATATTCATGCGACTATCCAACAACTTGATGTCCTTTACTTCTGGCTGATCCAATTGATCTCTACTACTACTGGGCATCGCATCCTTATGCACAGTTGTACTATGAACTCTACGTTCCTTTGGACAATCAAATACTTCGCTACAGTGGGAACACTTGAATGTACGTTTGGTCGGTGTCTTTCGATCTCGATCCAAAAACAAACTCGACGTAAAGTGCGTGGCTAACGATCTACTGTCCAACAATGGTCCGCTGATTTCGTTATCGGATCCTTCCGATTCTTCCCAGCTTTCTCGAGCCAACAGATCGTAAGAGGTGGACATGCGCGAAGATTCTTGACCCATGTACATCTATACAGTAAAAATGCATTTTAGACATACGAATTATACATAATTAATTGCGTAAATAATCAATACATATATATTGATATTCATCGTTATTATTTTTAAATTTATAAATAATAACAAGAGATTTTATATCTGTATGTATTACTAAGTTTATCATTATTTAACTTGCACAACTTTTAACTTAACTACATTTATTTTTATGTAATTAATATACATATATATAAATTATACACACATATAAATTATCATGTAGCAGTATAATGTAACATGATAATTTTCTTAATATTTTTTGGCTATAAACTTTATATTATATTTATATAATACAAAAAAATAACAAAACATGTTTAAATATGACAATTTTATGATAATATCGATAAAACAATAACAATTTGAACAACAATTTCATAACAATTTTACAAAAATTTTTAAAGAATAATACAATAAAATGTATAATAAATATTATTCTTTTCAATAATTAGAATTGTATAATTGGAATGTATATAACTATAACTCAGAATATTTCAATAATTAACTGTAAAAAAAATCAATTTAATAATAATAAATCTTTTAATCATAATATTTATTACAAAATAAATAAAAAAATTCTTTTCACGTGTTGTATTTTTTATTACATATAAAAAGTATCTTTTATGCACATAAAAAAAATCTGCGGATGCAGTTACGAATCAAAACATTATGCAATGTCTTTACGAATATAAAAGACGATTACAAATGCCGAATTGTATAAATAATAATAAAGATGCAAATAAAAAAATGTACAATACAAAGAACCTGTAGTGTAAAAATATGAAGAATAATATAAATTACAAACCTGCCATGCGGACTGTTCCGTGCAGCCATTGCTTTCTTGCTCCGATAATTCACCTCTAGGTGGCATAGTCTCATCAGCACGCATATTAATACTCTTCACCTCCTCGTCAACACCTATTGCACCCTCGCTACTTGCCATAGATTGCTGGCTGGTTGCACTCACCGCTTTCTGAGACGAGTCACTTATAAATGTACTAGGAACTAATATTTGCAGTCCGTCGAATTCAAAGACATTCATTGGCCCAGCGTGAGCATCTTCATTTATATTGAGCAGTTCCATCGATTGCTTCGGCATCAATGATTTGGCGGAGTGAAAGTTTCTAGATTCGGTACTGGTTGTGGGGTTTATTGATTCGGAGAGATTCAAAAGGTTTTGAGTCTTGGTGCTGGTCGTAATGGAATATGACTCGTGCATCAAGACGGATGACTGTGAATGTATCACGGGAAATGAACTAATGTGCTCGGTTATCACTGATTGATGATACGCGTAACTGCTGCTCGATTCTTGAATCTTTGCAACATTTCCGCACACCGCCACCTGCGTTTCCTGACACTGATTATCAGTCTTAATTTTCTCCTCATCTATCTGTGAACAGTCGATCGGATCTTTCTCCGTGGTGTTACCTACACCATTACTATCCTCATCGTGAGTTACGCTATCACTGTCCACGTGATGAAACGAATGTATGGACGTGGGTGAGCATGGTTTGCTGAGATCCTTCCTAACTCTTAACACAGAAATGCCACTGATTGCGGACAAAGGTGTGTGCGATCTGACGCCGCAATCCGCGAAAGGCGTATGCGGACTGGGAATCTCGTCAATGTCCATGTTCGCCTCGTCAAAATTGTCCTCTTCGTCGATCTTCTCGTCCATGTTTATATCAACGTTAACCTTCTCGTCCAAGTCCACATCCGCCTCGACGTTCGCGTCCAAGTTCTCGTAGTCCTCCTCCTCCTCCTCCTCCTCTTCCTCGTCGTCATCGTCGTCGTTATCGTCATCATCGTCATCGTCGTCCTCGTCGTCATCGTCGTCGTCGTCGTCGTCGTCATCGTCATCTTGTATGACCGCGGCGTCGTCGAAATCAGCACGGTGACGATATGCATTGAGATTTTCGCATGATCCATGCTCCGATCGCGAACTATAACGACGGATGACTTTGCGGCTCTTCCTTCTCGTGACTGGAGACGTAGGAGCTGAAAAACTATATTTATAATTATCAGAATGCAAAGTTTTTTCCAATCTGTCTAGAGTTTCATTCGTTTTTGAGCAGTCTACTCTAGGTGACGAACAAGTCTTATCTGACAATCTTTGTTCGTCGGTCGAGTAATTGCTCGAGTCCCACTTGTTCCCTTCCTGCACGTTGGACAATACGTGATCCTTCTCGTGGGAATCCGGAATGCCTACTATATCATGAATAACGCTCTCCTCTCTATCCAAAGTGGTCTTTCCTTTCGCGTCCGCCAATTTTTCCTGATCGTTTCGCGTATTACTTTCTTTCTGTAGAGATGCGTTATTAAGCTCCGTTTCCATTATGGTAATCAAATTTTCTAGTTTTTCAACCGAGTTAAATTCAGGTTGAACAGAATCTTTCAAGGTATTTACTGGTACTAGATCACGCGGTGATCCAACATTAATGTCGACGTTGCTGCTGCGACTTACAGGTCTATCGTCAATTATCATTTCAGAGTCATGTTCGCAAGCTACGGAGTCAATGTCAATTGTGGGTGTTTCTCTATCGGATACATTCACGTATTCCTCTTCGGTCACATGCCGTGTAAACTGTTGTGTTTCTGGTTGCTCGTACGTTGCAGATTTACACTGTAAGTCTGTGGTCAAAATGTTATTCAATGGCTCTTCGTCCACCACGTCTGGCAATACACTCTCCACTTTGTCATCGGTGTTATCTACAGCGCAAGTGATTGTAATAGATCTAGAAATAGCATTGTATTCGTGCACAGTGCTGTCGTCGGGAGATGTAGAACTATGTGTTTGCTGTCCCCGGTGATTCATCGGCAGCATGCTGTTGTCGCTCTCTTCTCTCGTTCTGATGGATGTGTCCTTGTTCTGCAGCACAGGTGATGCTGAGAGATTAACATCTGGAATAACTTGTCCGGATTCAGACTCCGTCTCTGGCAAAATCTCAGGCAGAATCTGTTTCGGTTCAGGACTATTTACAGGAATCGTCAGGGTTCTGACGTTGCTCTCACCGGCCATAGTGACCACTGGCCGAACCCTCGTCATTGCGCCAGGAACAGCTGCAACTGGTGAGATCATTTGGACGGTGGGTATTTGCTGTTGGTACATACCGTATGGATTGTACAGCATCTGCATCATCTGATTGGCTTGCGGCGGTGCCATCGCATACTGCGGTATCATCATGGTCCCATTGTTCACAAATTGCTGATAGCTAAATGAAGTGAACTGCGGTGGCATCATGGTACTTATGGGCGGACATTCAAAAATGGGTCCTACAGGATACGGAGAGTGAGTAGAAATGTGCGTGTTCTGTGAGACTTGGGAGGACGTTTGGGGTGCCTGGATGGAGGTAGGAGTCTGAAGCGCAGCTTGCGACTGCAGCGATAATGGTAATGACGTTGCTCCTGGTGCTGGTAGAGCTTGTTGCTGTTGCGATGAGATGCTGGCTTTGATGAGAGCATCTATAACCTGTTCCTTGGGATGAGTATCCAAATGCTTCTGCAGACTGATGCCCTCGCGCAAATACAGGGTACACACAGGACAGGCCACGGCCCCGACGGACGTTCCCATACCGTTGAGCTCCATCGTTACCTACGGGCCGGCGATCAACTTTACACGTAAAATCGAACTAGCAGAAGAAAAGCGTTCCACGCGTACGTATGACGAAGCAATACAACAAACGGACCTTATTGTACATAGGTTTCTCTATCCGCTTCTCGTTTAAGACCAATCGCAATCGTGTGTGTATGCGTATCTATCTCTCTCTCTCTCTCTCTCTCTCTCTCTCTCTGCCTGTCTGTCTCTTCCTTTCTTTCTCTCTCCCTCCTTCTCTCTTTCTCTGCCCGTACTGGCCACGCTTCTCTCTTCGTGTTGAAACGGAATAATCGTCGCCGGGGCGGTTGTCTCGCGTCACATCTCGTCGCCTATCGGGCACGCGGTCGCACACGCACACGGCACAGCTGCACATCGCTGTGCCCCAAAAATATCGACATCCATGACTGTTCCCGTAACGCCTGACAGCCGTATGCGGTGCTGCGTGTCCTGCTTGTGTGCGGTGTACCGCGAGCACCAACGGCAGTGGCGGCGACAGCGGTGGCGGCGGCGGCACTGGCTCGCCGCCACCAGACAAATCGATATCCTGTTAAATCGCCAGCCAGCCACCAGCCTCCCCAGCCTGCCTGCGCTTATTAAATTACACCTGCCTGCACGCGGCGCGGCCGACGCACGACGGACGGACGGACGCGTGTTGAGATTCCAGGCACACGCGGCACTCGTGCACACGCACACGATACCTCCTTAGCAAGACGACTATCACGATGGCATGTCTCCTTCCTTTATCTCCCTTCGACGGCACAGTCCCAGTCCCAAAAACACAACAGAAAACAGCGACGGGCGATGATAATTCCGTCTGGGAACGGGAGCGACAAGAGCTACCAGAGGGGCTAGGGATGACATGTGGCGCTCCCTGGTGTCTTACCACCCACGACGCTCTCAGGCGTTCGGGGCGATTACGCATGTGACACAGTCTGGTAACATCTGTTCCCATTACCGACTAGGACTGCGGTCAGTTGCCACTACGAATGCTTTGAAGCGTTTGATTGACCAATCAAAAGAAAGAGTTATACAAACTGACCAATCAAGAAACGCTTCAAAGCATTCGTAGTGGCAACTCGACCGCAGCCTAGAATAGATGAAATGAGAGTGTCGCGACTGTCGCCCAAAGACATAGAGAATGGACTGCGCGATTCGTGTATCAAAATGGTCAACAAAAATAAGAAGAGAGGGACCGTGGAAGACGGCCATCTCCTTCTCATTCTCTCTTCCATTACACCATGGAATGGAAAAAGATAGAGATGGCCGTCTTCCACGGACCCTCTCTCTCATTTTCGTCGACACATTTTGATACTACATAGATACAGGATCGCGCAGTCCATTCTCTATGTCTTTGCTGTCGCCAGTATCCGGAAACTGCCATTTTCAGGCAAAATATATAAAACACATTGCGGTAATTTCGAAACATGAAAGTTACAATGACCAGTATCACAGGCTGCGTTCCGTTTCAGACATATGCGCGCATTCCCCTATAGTATACGTTACGCTCACTATATAAAATGCGCGCATATGTCTGTAATGGGCCTTCTACAATAAGCCGTAAGTCACAAATCAAAAGTCATAAGCTAGAAATGGACCAATCACAGTCGTCAATTTTTAATTTCTTACTTCCGATTTAAGACTTATGGCTTATGTAGGATTCACACTGCGTCCGACATCCGATGTACGATATCCAATAGGAGAGCTTGTTTTCTTGATATATAACTAACAATATTTTGTAATAAGCTCTGCTATTGGATATCGTACCGTCGTACGTCGGATGTCGTACGCAGTGTGAATCCTACATTATTGTAGAAGACCCATAACGGAACGCAGCTCTAGGGCCGGTATTCATAGTCAGTTCTTAAATTCAAGCCGTCTTAAGTTCAGTCTTGAGGAGTTACGAACCAATCAGAGGGCCGCTTTAGCATCTTAAGACATTACTTAAGACAGTCTTGAAATAAGAACCGACTATGAATACCGGCCAGAGGGCCGCTTTAGCATCTTAAGACATTACTTAAGACAGTCTTGAAATAAGAACCGACTATGAATACCGGCCTAGATATCAGAGGAACGCAACCGGCTTAAGTCAGTATAGCAAAACTACTAAGAAAAGTATTAAAAATGGCATCGTTTGCAGACGAACTATGAAATTCACCAATCGTCTGGTAGTCAGCCATTTTTAGTACCACTGAATGAATGTCATGATTGGCTGACAGTCAACTAATCAGAATGCGGCACACCGGTTGCGCTTCTCTGATATCTAGGACTCTACACAGACCTAGGCTGTCTTCCCATAGTCCCTTTGCCAGTCAGTAAAATAATATTACTAGAGTGACGTCATCTTACTGACTGGAGAAGTGTTCCCATTATCGCCAGTAAAAAGTGACGTCAGGATTTGTTGCGTTTCTATGCCCTACGCTTTCTACAGTTTTCGTTTCATATTACAGTTTCATTTCATATTTTCGTCATCAGTGATCTTCATTGAATAGGTAAGTAAATAATATATATTCCATGTAGCAATGTTTACTTGCAACTCTGTAATATTTCGATACCGGAACGAAATCGTTGTCTAACCTCTTTAGTCGCCGGGATCAATTATTTTAAGACATGGGTACCGAAATATTACAGAGTTGCAAGTAAACATTGCTACATGGAATATATATTATTTACTTACCTATTCAATAAAGATCACTGATGACGAAAATATGAAATGAAACTGTAATATGAAACGAAAACTGTAGAAAGCGTAGGGCATAGAAACGCAACAAATCCTGACGTCACTTTTTACTGGCGAGAATGGGAACACTTCTCCAGTCAGTAAGATGACGTCACCTTAGTAATATTATTTTACTGATTGGCAAAGGGACTATGGGAAGACAGCCCTAGTTTACACCCAGCAGCTAGAGGCCTAGAAAACAGAGATGCGACATTGCGTCGGTTGGGTTAGATAACCACCGCCATTTTAATTCAATATAAGTGCTCTTGACCAATAAGCTAATGACAGTTGATGCAAAAGGTAGAAAGATTAGATTAGGTTAGGTTAAGTCCGATATTAAATATTCACACAAATAAGAATACTTACACCATAATAATAGTTTTTTTTATTGCACTTCGACACTGTATTGTCTAAATTTTTCTATATATATATATATATGTATATACGTTATAAAACTATATCTATTAGATTAGTGAATTAAAATGGCTCTCTTATCACGTGATTTAGACAGCCAATCAAGCCATACCCTTCAATGACGCATCTCTGTTTTCTAGGTCTCTAACTGCGACGAAGTGAATCGGGGTTGAACGGCTTAGTGACCCTCTAATAAGAGTCTGGACACGTGAAGTCCGCCATTATTCGTCGAAATTGTGCGAGAGAGAAAAAATCATGCTATCTCATTCTAGTGGCGCTGTAAGTTGTAGCTGATTGTAGCTCTACAAACTTCATAGTTTCTGTTTCTGTTTCGTCTCGCCTCATGCATCGTATCATTTTTAAGACCAGGACCATTAATATTCGAAGAAGAAGAAGAATCATTATGATTAATATTATTATATTATATATTATTATTATATTATTATTATATTATTATTATTATTATTATTATTTATTATTATTATTAATATTATTATATTATTATGATTAATATTATTATTTATATTATTTTTATTATGCGTTAAAGGAATATATGTTACATTTTTGTTATATGTTAAATATAATAATTACAAAAACATTTTTATTAAATATAAATACTGTATATCTAATATACATAAATAATATGAAATATACATGAAATATTTTTTTCTGCATAAATATACTACTTTATTTATTCCCTATTGGTGCTACCTAAGTATTTTTTGTTAAGAATTTTAAAGCATTAATTGTATTATTTGTATTTAAATTTAATTTTTATTAAAGTTTCTTAATCTTGTAATATTTTTATAAATTTTATATATTCTTAATATATTAATTTTTATATTTTCAATCTATTTATAATACTTACTTAATTGTTGTTTTTATTTTATGAAAGACATATTGCAACGTTTTTTTTACATAAAAGTTTTTATAGAAAATATTTAATAATGTTAATATAAGTTAAATAATAATAAAAATAAAAATTGTAATTGATTTTACTTTAATTTTTACGAATTTATTAATTTTTACAGTTTATAAATTTAAAGAAATTTGCGGGAATGGATGATAAATGTCGGACCAATCACAAACCGGGGAGAAGGTGGCCAGACTCTTATTAGAGGGTCACTAGAACGGCTAAGTGTAAACTAGGTCATTCTTCAATGCGTAATCTGATTCCGACCTTACTGCTTACGTCTAAAGGCCATCACATGTACGAAATTTTAGTAGGAATCGTAAGGTCTTAAGGAGCCTACAGACCAGAGCGGCGCAGCGGTAAAGCGGCGAGCGATAGCCAATGAGAGCCATGATTTTGCGTAAAAGCATGGCTCTCATTGGCTATCGCTTGCCGCTTCACCGCTGTGCCGCTCTGGTCTGTAGACTCCTTTAAGTAAATCGACCAATCACAATCAAGATTACGATCTCACATTTTAATACGCTAAACTGTGATTGGCCGATTTACTTAAGACCTTACGATTCCTATTAAAATTTTTGTACACCCACGGTAATTAATTCTGTCCCTCGGATATTTTCACAAAATGAAAAGTGACCACCTTTCTATATTAATTGTCACAATCCATGCACGATTAACGTTCAGTCGCAACCACAGACTTCTATTATATAGAAGTCTGTGGTCGCAACGTTAATCGTGCATGGATTGTGACAATTAATATAGAAAGGTGGTCATTTTTCATTTTGTGAAAATTTCCGAGGGACAGAATTAATTACCGTGGGTGTACGTGTGATGGCCTTTACTGCCTTAAATTTTTTGTGTGCCATAGCCTTTAAAGGCGCAGGTTCAATGGGGATTCGTAACTTTAAGGCCTATCGCACATGAAATGCATAACTGTGCATAAGCATAACATAAGGCCGTTGGACCAATGAGCATCCAGCATAAAGACGCCATATTGATTAACATAAGATGCTCATTGGTCCAGCGGCATTACGTTATGCTTATGCACAGTTATGCATTTCATGTGCGATAGGCTTTAAAGCCCCAACACTGACTTTTGCATAATGCATAAAGCATGTGCATAAGGAATTTCATTGGCCCATTTTCTTATGCATGAGTCAATGGATCAATCAAATTCTTTATGTATATGGTTTATGCGTTATGCAAAAGTCTGTGCTCCCCGCTTAATGGTCCGTATTGAGAACGCATTTTTATCGATAAAAGCGCGCTTTTATCTCTGAAATTCTATAGTATACGTGACGTAAACTACAGCATGTTAGCGCGTTCTGAATACGGGCCAATATAACCTTAAGCCCATTTTACAATAAAGGTCTGAGCACAAGCACTGCCGTAACATTTTACGACATACTTAAGCGGGGAGCACAGACTTTTGCATAACGCATAAAGCATGTGCATAAGGAATTTCATTGGTCCATTTTCTTATGCATGAGTCAATGGACCAATCAAATTCTTTATGTATATGGTTTATGCGTTATGCAAAAGTCTGTGCTCCCCGCTTTAAGTTGTAGACGTAAATAAAGCGGGGAGCACAGACTTTTGCATAACGCATAAAGCAAATGCATAAGGAATTTCATTGGTCCATTTTCTTATGCATGAGTCAATGGACCAATCAAATTCTTTATGTATATGGTTTATGCGTTATGCAAAAGTCTGTGCTCCCCGCTTAACGCACAAGCTTTGGCGTATCGGCGTATGACGTGTTTATGCTCGCTATCGAAAGATATGACAATAATGTACAACATATATAAACACGTCATACACCGATACGCCAAAGCTTGTGCGTTACTTACGTCTACAACTTAAATTTGTCACCTGGGCCACTCAAATTTAGTAGAAGAACTTAAGTATGTCGTAAAATGTTACGGCAGTGCTTGTGCTCAGACCCTAGGTCGTATGTTGGTGTTGGATGTCGTGTCGTAAGAAATTAACCAATCATAGTCGATTGTTTTCAACTGTGAGGGGCTGCGCAGAATAAAAGGAACAGGGAACAGAGAACAGAGAATAAGAATTTCAACCTGTCAGAAATCATGTACTGTGGAATACACACTGTTTATTCCACAGTACATGATTTCGGATAGGTTGAAATTCTTATTCTCTGTTCTCTGTTCCCTATTCCTTTTATTCTGCGTAGCCCCTGATTGATCAATTTCTTACGGCACGAGTCAATGGGCGCATTCAGCAGAAAAGAATGCTACGAGAGCGCTCGCTGTTATTGGTGTATTCTTCTAGATCATCCAATCAGAATTTTAAATCTGGAAGAATATACCAATTACAGCGAGCGCTCTCGTAGCGCTCTTTTCTGCTGAATGCGCCCAATGGGCGAGTTCAAGACGGCAAAGCGGCTAGGTATGCTTGCCGAGCGATTGAATATAATTGGTTGTTACTTATAGATCCAACCAATCATACTCGATCGCTCTGCAAGCGAACCTAGCCGCTTTGTCGTCTTGAACTCGCCCAATGATCGCATTCAGCAGACTCAACTTGCGGAGCAGATCTGTGAGCGCCCGCTGCTATTGGTTGATCCCCAGCTTATTATAGAAGTGAATAAGCTATCCTTTCTTTCTCATGCTTTCCTTCATGATCATCTTTTATCATTATTTAGCATAAATTATTTTCTGCTCTGTCAAGTGTAAAGAATTTGATATCTAAAACTTGGTGGGACATCTCGACATCAGGTTGAGTTTTTTTGGGCTCCTTTTTTATTACGAGAAAGTGGAAAGGATTAATTTTCCTTTGGTTTTACGAAAGTTTAATCCGATAATGTTTACACAGTGTATTATAGGCGCTACGTGCCACATTGCATAACCTCCAGAATAGTCTAAAGCAGTGTGTGACGAACAATTTTTATCGTACTCTTTATTCGCCTGTCGTACAGATTTCTTCGTTTTACGAAGCGATGGCAGAATGTTACGACAAGTTGTCTTGGACAGGTGAGTCTTTCTGTCATGTGAGTTAACGTTATCTCATCATGTATAATTGTAAAATAAATATTAACACTTTGGACATGTTTTAAGAACTATCGTAATAATATTTAAGTATAATTTTTTAAATAGATATTTTTTATTATAGAGTAAAAATTAATTTAATCTTAATATTAAGAAACTTTTACAAAAAGTTTGCTGAATCATTATTGAATAAAAATTTGATACACACTGTTGGCTTATTTTTAATTCACTTTTTGACGTATTGTTGTATATATTTTATTTGATTTAATATATTTTAATTATATAAACTTTATTATTTATGAATTTATGTTGGACATTAAGGCATTTAAAAAATGCTGAATTAATTTTCTAAACAATTTTTCTAAATAATTTACAATATATAAATTATTCTATTAAAATCAATAATATTGTATTAGAATTTTTGTATGCTTCTAATGGTAATTTTGTATATATTTTTCTTATATAGAAGTAAGGGATTTATTGAGAACTTGGAGGGAAGATTCTGAACGACGAAGTAAAGATGTAGTAGACTTTTGGGAAAATACTTTGATAGGAAAGATTGATCGTTTGTATAATATATATCATGAATATTTTGTTTTTCATTATTCAGAATATCTAATTCTGGAACAAGTGTGTGTAGCCGCATTGGATTGTTATCGATTACCATTAGCTGATTATTGCATTAAAATTTTAATGCGTGCCTTTCCTGGCAGCTTACGTGTTCACAAGTACCATGCTATGCATTTGGAAGCATTAGAAATGTAATTATAATATATCATATGTAAAAATATATATATAATATATATCCTAATGCTTTTTATCGATTGATTTTTTCTAGGTATGATGAGGCAATGGAAGTTTTGGATTCTATTATAAAAAGAGATGAAACCAATGCCGCACCAAGAAAACGTCGTGTTGCCATTTTAAAAGCTCAAGGACGCATTCCAGAAGCAATCAAAGAGCTTACAGAATATCTGAAAAGGTATATTTTAACATATATCTATATATAAATATGTATATATTTCAAAAGTTTTATAAAATTACATATTAGTGATATGTTAAATTTAAATCATTATTTAGATTTATGAGCGATCAAGAAGCATGGCACGAGTTGTGTGATTTATATTTACAAGAACAGGAATATTCCAAAGCAGCTTATTGTATGGAAGAACTTATATTGCATAATCCACATAGTCATTTAATTTACCAAAGATATGCTGAAATAAAATATTCTCAGGTACATATATCTAATATTTTATGATAATTTTTAAATGATTATAATCATATTAATTTACAAGAGGAATACCAAATTTGGTACAATTTTACTGTTTATGTATGATAGTTCAGCGCTTTTCTATTAATTCATATTAAAATTATAGGATGCACTTCTCAAGCATTCATGGAGAAAACACATTTAAAAATTCATGTACTGGTAATACAACATTTTTAAATGCGTTTTTCTTATAAAATTCAGCTAAATCTAGAGAGGCCATGGCTGATGTTGTTCCAACATCAAACTAACCCACAATGATTTGGCTAAATTTTATATATGTAATAGTTCAGACTTCTTACTAATTTGTGCTAAAATTATATCTGCTCCTCAAGCATTTACGAAAAAAAAAACGCATTTCAAAATCTAACATTACTACAAAAAAAAATTTTTTTGCAAATGCTTGAGGAGCGTGCTCTATAATTTTAACGAGAATTTGTAGGAGGACTAAACTAATATATATGTATATATATATATACAGGGAGGGGCATTTAAAACAGGTCACCTGAATAACTCGCTTGTTTTTGACAATAAAAGAAAAAGTGTCAAATAAAAGTTGCTTGGTTTCGAGGGGCACATAATGTGACGTCAATAATTGTTTTTTTGATGGAGGCGCTAAAAAGATATGAAGGTCACCTCCACTTTTTTAAATGAAATTATGTAATTTTTTTTAGATAACGTGATTTCTCTAATTATTTTGCAAATAAAAGTATTAAGGTAGAGATACCAAAAAACTAATAGTTTTCGAGATATTTTACACTTTATTTTGATACATATTGACACAAAATGTTAAATAACTCGTAAACTGTTGACTTTTTGATTATTGTACCTTAATACTTTTGTGAACAGAATAATGAGATAAATCAAATGGTGTAAAGAAAACACATAGTTGCGTATTTAAAAAATTAT